CAAACTCGAGAGAAATTTTCTTTAAAAAAAAAAAAAAAAAAAAAAAAAAAATGGAGCTACCCCGAATGAACAATTGATACAACATACTCTCTACCAGAGTACACAAAACTTATCCAACTGTATTGGAAAATTCCACGTATTTCCTCGAATTAGATTTTTTTTTTTGTGAAATTATAGTATACAATAGTTTCTCATTCGTGAAATTATAGTATACAATATACAATATTACGCAGTTACGTATCTACCATATTGATAAAATATATTCTCCAATACTGTAAAATTTACTCGAGAATTAAAAGGAGATAATGCCTGTATATACTTCTAAACGTACGAGCATAGGAAATATCGACGAGAACGCATGTAAAAGACGTGGGGGAGGGCAGAACCGTTTCTTTCATCCTTCTCGCGATCAGAGCGTAATTATAGAACGGAATATCGATGTTTCCGCGTTTATCCATCGTTGCAGGTAAGTGGTTGTTGATTCGCTGGCTCTCTCGGCTGGCCGAAGGACGAGGATACGCTTGTAACGTATCCACCTATTATAAGGGTATAAATATCGAGTGGCAAGTGCATAGCGGACGGTCTCGGCATTCTCAGTCCGGCCACAGGCTATTTTCAACCCACGCTAAACTCTCTCGCTCTCTCGCTCTCCTCTACTTTCCACGATCCCCACTTGTCCCCGTGTATTCTAAGACACGACCCGATACCATAAAAAGCACCCGCTCTCCGCGTCCCACTCACCACCCCCGGCTCCACGAAATATATTTCTGCCGATTGAATTCGCTCCGCTTCGTTCGATGAGGGCTCGTTAAAACGCGAGCCGACGTACCGATCACGCGGCTATATTCTACCCCCTTTCGCGCTTTATCTTCTCACTTGTGTGTCTCTCGAGACTATCTGTCCACGGCGCGTTTTACAAACGATGAGTTCTACTCGAAATTCTTTCCCTTCGATTCTCATGACATTTGATAATCGACTTTGCAATTTTAAGTCTAAGTTTTTAGCATCGATTTCATTATAATCTTTCAGAACTTTATTTTTTTTTTAACGTGGTTGTTCGAGTTTATGTTTTATTTATACCATTTCAGTAAGTAGAATATTGAGAAATACCAGAAGGTTCTTGGCATAGTATAATTTAATGGTAAATTTGGAGATGAAAAGATCTGAATGATTTGTGTTCTTTTCAATTATGTGCAGAAGAGCATCGTGTCACGATGAAATTGATTTTTCAACCCCTAAATACTATAACCCATCTGTGAGATTGCTCCCAATTTTTATTCATCTCTATATCTTTGTTTGACATCTTTCAACATATTTCTTATTTATTTATTTATTCATTGTTCGTCGTTATTATATTTACTATTATTCATTACTATTTATATTAATTTAACTCTATCATGATTATCTTTTGCTCTAACCTTCAAGACATCTTCTTTTGTACCGAAATAAATGAATAAAAGTAAATCAATTAGAATTCAATATGTAAAAGATTTGTCGTAATTTTCCATCATTCTCTTAAAATAATAAAAGTTCTTTTCGCAATTAAAATTCAAACGAGACACAAAAGTGTTGGATTAACTGCATATATTGAAAATTATTGTATAGATAGGTCACGTGATATTTTTGAAATGGTCAAAATATTTTTCATAAAATGAGAAATTTTCAAGACGTGCGTGTTTTAAATCACACGATGTTAGAGAAGTTTTAAATAATACGCTGTCGCGCCTTGTTTTTCCTGTCTCTACAGAAAAGACAAAAAAAAAACAAAATCCACTTGTTCTCTGAGTCACGAGTAATGAATTTCTCCGTATCCCAAAGTATAGCACGTAACTTGTGCACATAAGCTTCAGTTCCTCTCGCGACCGCGTTTCTCTAATCAACGAAACGAAATATTTACGTAGGGAAATACCGCGCGCGTGATTCATAACACTCGCTGCAATTTAGTTTGCAATTTCACACCTGAACGAGAAAAACTAGAAGCACCTTTTGCTTCTCTAACGTTCTGTCACTGTCGATGGAATTTTATTGGATAGTGAAGCAGAAAATATTTGACGGACAAATTGATCTAGGCGCGTCGAGTCAGAAAACCGCATTTCAAATGTGAAAAATTCTTCATGTTTTAAAATATTCTTATTATAGTGGTAAATTTCTGTAATTTATCAATTCAATGATATAATTACAATAATTTAATATAATTCTGATTTCTCCATCAAATATTATCATTGCAATTTTTATTCACATTTTTGGAAGCTTATCTTGAAATTTACGACTCTTATCTCGTCATCTGACAAATGAATTTATGGAAGTGAAGTCCCCTGTGTTTTCCAACAACTTCAACGCAGCAGATCATTTGGCCGCGTTCAATGAAAATTGAGAAATAAAGAAACAAGATGTAAGATGTACTATCTGCGGATATTACACGGTATTCCCGATATCTCGCGCGTTTCTGCAGGTTTAAATTTCTTGAAATGCGACAAAAACCGGCGGCCTATTAGCCGACCAGTTCGACAGTGCCGAGAGGCTCGTTTTGCAACGAGTTACGCCAGGCAAGAGTAAATGCCAAGACCGTGACGAATAAGAATTCGAATAACGGCGAAAAATCGCCAAGGCAAATCGTCGATAAAAGATAAAACGGCGTGGATCGTAGTGTTGCGCCGTTGGGGTAAGTATCGATTGCGCACGTAAAACTTTTTAATCGCTGGGAACGAAACGACGCGCGTTCGCCTCAGTTTATTTACACTCGCGAATAACACACCCGACAGATCGATACAGTCATAATCATAATATTTATATCGAGAGGTTTTTCCCTGCGAAAAGTTACGGCCCGAATGGCGGTTCGTGGCTTCGTGATTCTAAACTCCGAAATGAGACACGCCGTTAAAGAGTCGATAAATCCTTGATGGATTAATGAAATTACTGAGAAGTGATATTCTATTTTTCTTTTTTTACAATGTTACAAACGATCTTGAAACGAATTCGTGAAAGTATTGTATTTGTGCATTTGTCAACAAAGCTTTTACGAATATGTTTGTATTATATACAATTTTGAAACTTCACTAGTGTTGTAATATTATCGTGATATTCATTTACTGATGATTACACTGATGAGACATTTCTGAAAATGCAGGAGTTATAATATATGTTTATTACAAGCATGTACTTCGCAAAGATCGTGGAACTATTTAAATAATTACATTATATTATTATTTTATTAAATATATGTTTGTAATAACGTCTATATGCATTTTCAAGTTGGTCTCAAACCTTTGCCAATACAATCACGAAACTCGTATCTCACTATAGTGTAAAAAAAAAAAATGACAAAATGGACATAATACAGTTTCAACTGTGAACACCTTTGTGAACCACTGTTTGAAAAACATTTCACTTTCGAATTTTGGAAATACCTTTGGCGAGACAACAATTCTATTCACACTTTGTACAACGATCGATATGCAACGCATTAGCCACACAGACGTAACAAACGTTGAGAAATCGTGAATAAAAGTTCCAGCGTCACTGGTTTTGGGCATGTAATTCTCCCTGGAATCTTACGTAAGCGAAGAAACATTTTCAAAGAATCACATCGGCTGTTTGCATTCCTTTTCTTAATAACACACGCGAGTTTATATCGTTGTTTCGCGTGTATCACAACAGTTGGTCAAACAATCTAAAAGATCGTTTCCTCGAATTGCACGTACAATGTGCAATTAATATCAATTTCTGAGCAGTTAGAAGCACCGTACGCATAAATACGTACATGTTATGCTCATTTATAAAGAAATGATTGAATTGGTTTGGTTGACGAACATATTTCAACACTTTGCACAGAAAATTTTTACGCATATATTTACGTATATATTGTACGTGTCATGTAAAACATTCTAACGTTTTACTAGAATTAAATCAAACTCATTCATTTTATCACAAATTAATTAATTTCGTTCAATTGGCAATCTCTTCACGCGATTAGATACAAGTATTTGATTGTAAAATTAATAAATATTATAATATTGTATAATATAAAAATAAATGTATAATAATTGTATGATATAAAAATAAATATTATAATATTGTAAAATCTGACGAAAAAGACACTTTATTGGTCAAATAAAGCAATAAATATTAATACTTTTATAAACCTACGATGATGAAATATTCGAACCTTTACCACAGAAGAACTCTTATGTAATTATATTGAAATTTGATTAACAATAATACGGTCATAATTATATCAATGAAATTCAAAAATGCATTTCGAAATTAGATTTACTGAATATTTAATAATTTTAAACATTCGAACAAACGATCCCCTTAAACACAATGAACGAAATACCTCTATAATCGACAAGAAATATATTCTGTGATTTCCATGTACAATTCGAAATTTGTTTCAATAGATTTGCTTCACCAATATAATCGTGCGTACTCCAGTCTCGTAGTGTTAACGAAATTTCAGAATATCTCGTACAGTCACAAAGATTTCTTTTCAAACGTTTGAATACTTTCAACTACAATCGAATCAGCGTGAACAAGCATATTTCGTGCAACACGCAGCAATATACGTTCGTAAAAAGAGCACTTTCGTGACCTGCTACAATCCACTCTCGTGAACAAAATTTCAAGACATCTCGCATTTATATTCATAGAAATACACCTTCCAACCGTTCGAATACTTTCCCGAGCTGCTATAAATCTCCCATCTTCAACACGAAAGCACTGTACCATCAGCCAGGCATAAATACAAAAATGCATCTCCTGAGTGCATCAGGTGATTTACCAGGCAGCTGTTGCTTTGCATACGCGGCGAACGCCTAACGACCGATGATACTGATTGACGGCTGCATAAATCTCTGCAACGGTTCACACCTTTGTGGAATATGGTATACATATCTCGAACGTATCCGGTCATCGGAAGAATACTAATAGCAGACCGTCGGGAACGAACCGTCGAGTTACGTCGTTAGAGCTTCGCTCGATGATAAATATTAATACCGCTTTTACGATTCATAACGTGTCTCTTTCCCTTCTCTCTCTCTCTCTCTCTCTCTCTCTCTCTGTGTCGCGAGAACACACGATTCTTATAAACGACTTCCGCGATCTGCGGGAGGGATTACATGCAAATAACGAGAACGATGTTGATACACATAATAACAATAAACACGGTGGCCTACATTAACGGCCAGTGCGACTAAGAGAGTATATCGTTTGCAGCAGTCACTACCCACTTCTAAGTAAGCAGCAAACAAAAGGACCGCGAATGGAAATGGCACTCGAGCAAATCGAGGATGAATGCGCGATTGGTCGTGGCCATAATAGGATCTGCCGACTATTTCGAGTGAATTTTGTCACGGTGGCTGCGCCTCGCGAAAGAAATGGTATTTAATCTTGCACAGTATCGTACAACTTGGCACAAGCTGTGTGTCCATAGATCGTACAGTTATTTCGCCATTGTGTTTTGTAATTATAGCGATCATCGTTTCCAAGATTTTCAACTGCAATTAACTAAGAATCTCTTTTAAGAACATGTAACATCGTACAAATTTGGAAGCTGTCCGCGCGTTGTGTTGTAATTATTTCACAATTACTTCACTGCGTGTTTTATAATTGTAACAATCATTGCTTCCCAGGTTTTATACTACAATTTAGGCTAGCAGTTCTCCTTCGAACGGAGAATCTTTTGCGTGTAACATTCGCAAGTACTTGGACTTGTGTTGGACACACAATTCATTTTCAATTTTCATATTTCTTTGCCTGTTCTAATGGCAGATATCGAACGATCTCCTGGATTGAAATGCTGCAAATATATTTATTTATTACACGTTGACTTGACTTTTGCTTTGTAAAATTTGTAGATAATTTTAGAAAGTGAAATTTTATTTACACCAGTGTTATTCACTGTCTTCGCGGCTTTTCCTTAGTAGATATCCTTTTAAGATTTATGACTGAAATATTTAAATTATCGTTGCTATTTAAGATACACGCAGTTTCATTAACTTTAAAGTTAATTGTGTTAAATGTAGTTTATAACTTTAATGATAT